AGGAATGAATTGGTACATCTGCTCTGGAGAACAGTTTAGTGGTTTTTGTTTTTTTTTTTTAAGTTTCATTTATTTATTGGGACGCCTGGGTGGCTCAGTTGGTTAAGCGGCTGCCTTCCGCCCAGGTCATGATCCCAGGGTCCTGGGATCAAGTCCCACATCGGGCTCCTTGCTCAGCAGGGAGCCTGCTTCTTCCCCTCTGCCCCTCTGCTTTTGCTCTCTCTGTCAAATAAATAAAATCTTTAAAAAAAAAAAAAAAGATTTCATTTATTTATTTGACAGAAAGAGACACAGCAAGAGAGGAAACACAAGCAGGGGGAATGGGAGAGGGAGAAGCAGACTTCCTGCTGAGCAGGGAGCCCGATGCGGGGCTCGATCCCAGGACCCTGGGACCATGACCTGAGCCGAAGGCAGACGTTTAACGACTGAGCCACCCAGGCGCCCCAGTTTAGTGGTTTCTTATGAAGTTAGACAAATGACTTACCACATATCCCAGCAATTCCATTCCTGGATATTTGCCCAAGAGAAATTAAAGCATACATTCACATAAAACTTGTACGTGAATATTATGATAGCTTTATTAACAATTGTCAAAAACTGGAAACAACCAACATGTCCTTTAATATGTGGATAATCAGTGGTACATCCATGCAGTGGAATACTACTCAGCAATAAAAATGATTGAACTATTGATTCATGTATCAACATGGATAAACTATGAATGCAGTTTCTAAAAATGCTAAAGCCTGAGAAAAATGTAGCTCCAAACCTGTAATAACTCCTTGTTGCACACAGAACAAAATCAAAGCCTTACAGTGCTTATCTCTCTACTCCGACTAGAATATAAACTCCATAGGTGCAATGATATTTATGTTTGTTCATTTATATTTGTTGACTGAAGAAAGTAGATATTAATACTACTGGTTTGCAGATGAGGAAACATATCAAAAGTTAAGTTACTTGGTAATATAAAATCAGAATTTGAGCACAAGTCTTTCCAACTCCTACACTTTTCCTTGCCATCACACTGCTTGCCAGTACCTTTGGCTTAGCATAGTTTCAAAACTAACCCATGGTCCTCAAGTCTGACCTCCATGTTACAGTCAACTGGGAGGTTTTTTAAATTCTCTTTCTGGCCTTTTGGTCCTTAGACCAGGTGAAATCACCTCTCCAGGTGATTCTGGTGCCTAGTGACAAATGAAAATAACTACAGATTAATAGTGCTTGTTGAATTAGTGAATGAACAGAGTTGATAGCTTAACATATGACTTGCCCACGTTTTTTGTCTGCTGTGTGTATTGACTTTTCCTGGCTTTTTTTCTTCTGTCCTTATTTCTTGTTTATTTTTTAATTTTTACCTTACCCTTTGAAAATTCCCTTAGAGTCTGTTTTTAAACCATCCTCTCCTCTAAGTATTATTGTGATAACAATTAAACATTTCTGTGGATGTAGAGAGTTCTGGAATCTTCTTCCTTGAGGTACATCTCCCTGATTTCAACCTAGAGTGGAGTGGGCTTGGGACTTGACTGGTTGAATGAACTTTCTACTTGTTTCTTTTCTGGCTAAAGAGACGTTTAGTTGTAGAATTACAATTGTTATTCTTATCAGTAGTGCAGACAGTTGCAGAAGGATGAATTAGAAGTAGATGGTCAATGTGTGTAATGGGTTTTCTTCTAGGTAGATGAAGAATGGGAACCAATTATTTCATTTAAGGCAACAACTTCAATCCATAATTATGACTAAAAATAATTTACTTCTGTGGAAACAGAGAAGCTAAGAGCAAGTTATTTCTGAAGAATTTTATATTCTATAAAAGATTTCTGGTAGTAGTTTATTAATTTAGGTGCACTTGAAGTTTTGTTGCAGATTATTAACCTGTGAAAAGGGAAGCTGAGAGACAATGATTTAAAGCAAGAGTTATAGAGCCCTTCACAATTAAAAGTTAATCAGAAATTAGGGAAAGCTTTCTAGAGTCCATTGATAAGATACATTTTTCTTACTTTTTTCATTAAGTGACTTATCAAGTGCTGTATTTTACCACTGAAAAATGATGAATTTTTGCCTAGATTTTCCTGTAAAACTTAAAAGCCCCAAATAAGGAATTATTTTCACCTCTTTGATAACCCTTCACCTGCCTCATGAAGAGAGAGATTTATCTTAAGTTGGGGAAATAATACTTAAGAATTTGATTCAAACAAAGAGGGAACAGTCACTTCAGGTTATACTAGCTGTGGCTATGAATAAGTTAAAAGACACATCTGGCAAATTTCTAGATAAGACTTGTAAGAATAATCTGAGGGAATGGACCTATGACTTTTAAATGATGCATTTCCTGCTAACTTTCAGGTTTTATTGAACTCAGATTTTAAAAATGAAACAGACTTGAGAATCACAAAAAGGTTTCTAGATGCCATTATGCTTTTTACCATGAGTGACAGTAATGATTAATGCACATTTAGAGTATTATTGATTTTTTAAAAAGATTTTATCTATTTGTGAGAGAGAGCACGTGCGTGCGAGAGAGAGCACAAGCATCAGTTAGAGGGAGAAGGAGGCTCCCTGCTGAGCAGAGAGCCTGATGCAGGACTCCATCCAAGGATCCTGGGATCATGACCTGAGCCAAAGGCAGACGCTTATCCGACTGAGCCACCCAGGTGCCCAGAGTATTTTTTTTTTTTTAAGTATCTTGTTATTTAAAATAAATACCCCAAGATAGCATTGATTTCTTAGATATTTCTTTTTTCACATCTTGGATAGAATTTACTTTTCTTATAGAACATTTGCTAAAGTATAATGTAAATCAAAGAAAATGTGTTGTTTATTAATCTATCCAAACTCCAAAAATGTTTATAATTTGAGCTACATTCTAACAAGGAAGAAAGATAAGACCAAACAACTATAAGTTTTCATATCCTGAGGAAAGACCTTTTAGAATCTACATGATATGTTTTATATTTGGTTATAGATTGAAATATATAGTAAACTGAATGGAGTTCTCATTCAGAATAATAAGTCCTTAAAATAGTTAAAGCAGTACTACAGAACACAGATTATTTCACTGAGAATAAACACATAGCTCCTAGATCTGAAAAACAAAAGAAAAAAAAATACAGGGTGTCCCTGAAAAATCCCAAAAGTGTCTTTAGTATAAGTGTAAAAGTTTCAGAGGGAAGGATTTTCTTCTCTCATTTTAGATGAAATGATAAAGGAATAGTACTCTAAAGATTCAGCAAACCTCTGAAAAATTAAATAAAAAATTTAAATTATGGGGGCACCTGGGTGGCTCAGTCATTAAGTGTCTGCCTTCAGCTCAGGTCATGATCCCAGGGTCCTGGGATCGAGCCCCGCATCGGGCTCCCTGCTCCGCGGGAAGCCTGCTTCTCCCTCTCCCACTCCCCCTGCTTGTGTTCCCTCTCTCGCTGTGTCTCTCTCTGTCAAATAAACAAAATCTTAAAAAAATATATTTAAATTATGTAGTGATCCAATTTATATATATACATACTTATACAGTATATATTATGCATAAAACAAATATTTATATACATTATAAATAGGGTGGTTATTTGTCAAAATGCTGTGATTATCTTCCAGTTATCTTTTTCTTTACTCATTCTACTATGCATATGTATTTGCATATTTAAAGTAAAAATGTCAGTAACAAAGAGCCCTTAAAAGACTCAAATGGTAACCTCATCAAGTATAGATGTGGGCCAGAAAATACACTGCTATAGTAAGTCAGTGGTTAACACCCATCTCTAAAATAGGCTTAGCATTTGTCTTATCCTGCCTGTTCATCTTCGTCTCCATACTCAGATATAACCATTTGGCTGGAGGGAGTTAGGAGCTGAAATGCCAGTGCCCTTGTGCCACCCCCTGGAAACGGATTTAATTACTCTGGGGTATATAGCCTGGCTAATGGGACTCTTTTAAGTTCTCCAGGTTAGTCAATGTACAGCGAAAGAAGGATGAGAACCTCTGTTTTATAGGAAACTTAAAAAAAAAAAAACTCATTTATTTTTCAGTCTGTTAATTTGTATTCTGTTGAAACTGTTACTACCTGTACAAAACTTGTGTTGAACGAATTACATTATTTTCACCTGTTTTCTTAAATAAGCTACGTTTTAATGTCCAGCCTGCCACTGAGTTAATTGGGTAACATGATGGACTGTTGTATTCTGCCTCTATCTTTTCCTCCCTCCAGTCTGTCTTCCATGCTGTCCAAATGGTTAATTTTCTAAAGCATAAAATAATTCTATCACTGCCATGCATAAAAGACTTTAATTATCCATTCTTTACAGATTAAAGTATAAGTTTCTTAGTTGGCCCCAACTTGTTTTATCTTCCCTGTTAGTTCAAAACTAGAGATCCTGAACTCCATGTGTACTGACCATTCCTTGAACAGTCCTTTTATTTCATACCTGCCTTCACATATGCTATGTCCTTTATCACTAATTTCGATCATTGCTCAAGAGTAGGTTCAGAAACATTTATTGGAATGGAGCGAAAGTAGCATTTATTATTGAGCATACTAGCCAAGGACTGTGGGGTTTTTTTACTGTAACTTAACACCTATTCTGAAGTTCATATATGAGCAAAATTTCCTACATTTTCACTCTCCCACAAATTGGCTGCGTCTATTTTATACATAATTTATACAGAGATTTAAGTGTATTCAACCATAAAATTCAGTCAAGTAATCTCCTGCCCATGTGAAAGGGAAAATTGAAAGGCTCATACATGTAGATAACTTTCATAGTACAAAGTGCAGCCTGTGAAAACTTAACAGTCTCTGTGTGGATAAATGTTACAGTTTAACAAGAAGTTAGTTTGGGCAATGTTAAAAATTTGAGATTTTTTTTTTTGTCTATTAAGATAAATTTGGTAAAATGTAATTTAGTTTGTTCTTTTATATATGCTTCCTAGGTTTTCTTAGTGTTGCTAATTGTGTTTTTTAACTGATGTTTTACAATCTTAATTTGATAATTTTTTTCTTCCATTAGAATGTGAAACATGGTGCAGAAACATTCAAGAAGTGGCTGAAGGGAGAAGGAAAAAAGTGCCACTGCCTATCAGAAAAAAACAAAAGAAAACATGGGAAATACAACCACCAAATTCCGTAAAGCACTCATCAATGGTGATGAAAACCTGGCCTGCCAAATTTATGAAAACAACCCTCAGCTGAAAGAATCCCTTGATCCAAATACATCTTATGGAGAGCCCTACCAGCACAATACTCCATTACACTATGCTGCTAGACATGGAATGAATAGAATACTAGGGTAAGTATTATTCTAAACCAGTTAATAATAAATTAGTGAAAGGGAAAAAAATCCTTGATCTTTGAAAATATATACATACATATGTGCATGTTATATGGTATTATAGTGAATTATATCCACTTTTTTTTTTAAGATTGATTGATTTATTTTAGAGCTCAAGACAGGCCCTCAAGTGGAGGGGGAACTCAAGCAGACTCCGCCTAGTGCGGAGCCCAACATGGGGCTCTATCTCACAACCTGAGATCACAACCTGAGCCAAAACCAAGAGTCGGATGCTTAACCGACTGTGCCACCCAGGCGCCCCAGTGAATTATTAAGTATGATTTTTTTTATTATGCCCAAATTAGACCAAAAGTTTTAATAGTAAGGTTGGTTCACATAGTCTTATGGCTGTAAATACATTTTGATCCTCAGTATGTTTCGTAATATGATATCTTGGAAATATTTTAGTGTTTAATTTATAGCATTTGAATTCTAGAAAAGTAATTATCAGCTATCAGAAAATTGCAGGGAATTTTGCCTACGGCGGAGTTTTCAGCTCCGATTAGTTTAAGTTGAAAAAACAGATGTATTTGCCTTATCTAATCATGATCGGGTTTGAGTTTCCTTTCTTTTAATGGGGTTCAGTTACTTGAAAAGACTTCTAAAAGCAAAACATTTCCTTAAAACCAAAAATACTGAGAAAACTTAGAATCTCTCCAACAAGAAAGCATTAGTTGACAGCAAACACGTTTATATGAAGATTCTTACCTCATTGCATGAGAATTAAATTTTATGTTTACTAGCTTATAAAATGAGAGGAGCAGAGGATAGTAGTTCTAAAACAAATTTAGTGTTTTAAGAAGTAGATTATGCAGCTGTAAAAGTCTGATGCTGGAAGAGAAGAGACATTCCTTTGCTTACATAGTAAAATAAAATTCATAAAGCAGTATTTGAAGCTCTTTAGAACTTGATAAAAAATGTTCAACCTTTTCCATATTTCTTTTAATACAAATTGTTGTTCAAATTAAGCTGCTCCTTTCGGTTTCTTTGAAACATGTCATGTATGCTCTTTTTGCCATGTGCATGCTGCTATCTCTGCCAGGAGTCTCCTCCCCCACCCCTCTCAGCTTTCTCTTTCTTATCTAAGTCTTATCCTTCCTTCAAGGCCCTGTGCAGGATTTATTTGTCTTCTTAGCCTGTCACAACCCAAAAGAACCTCAATCTTTCTTTTTAGCTTCTGTGGCTTTTTTTGTTTGTATGTATTACTTATTTGCTATATACTATATCATTGTGCTTTATAACTTTGTGTATCTTCTCTCTACCTAAATTACTACTTTTTTAAAATGTATCTTTTTTGTACTTCTAGCATCTAGCATAGTGTCTTACACAAAGTAAATAACAGTTTTATAAAATCATTGCACAAGAAAATATTTTATGATCAGGATTTGTGAATGAGAAAAATTCCATGAATGAGCTAAGTCATCCAGACCCATGATTTTATCAAGTAGGAATCTCTGTAACCTCTTAAAAATAAAGTAGGTAGGGTGCCTGGGTGGCTCAGTTGGTTGGGCAATTGCCTTCGGCTCGGGTCATGATTCTGGAGTCCCGGGATCGAGTCCCGCGTCAGGCTCCCTGCTCGGCGGGGGGTCTGCTTCTCCCTCTAACCCTTCCCCTCTCATGCTCTCTGTCTCCCATTCTCTCTCTCAGATAAATAAATAAAAATCTTAAAAAAAAAAAAAAAAGTAGGTATTTCTTGACTTAGTATTTCCATAACCTCTCCTTTTTGCATTTAGTTTTTGTTTTCATTTCTCTAAAGATACCTACTTAAAAGCCACCTCCAACTCATCTTGTTTGAAATTTTATATTTTTTCTTCCCAAACTGGGTTTTCCCTATGTTAACGACACTAACGTATTGTGCTGATATGATAATTGCAAATGTGTGAGTGCTTACTGTTTTCTAGGCACTATTAACAGTGTCTACATGCATTATCTTATTTAATCCTCATCACAACTCTGTGAGGTAGTTTGCTGTCTGCATTTTAGAGGTGAGAAAACTGAAGCACAGAAAATTAAGCCACTTGTCAGATCTCTAGCAGCTTTTAAGTGACAAAGCTAATTGCCCAGGCAGATGACTTTAGGCTTTAGGCTTTTTAACCACTGTGATAGCCTCTTCTCTCTATGGTCAGATAAACCTATGTGTCAGGGCTGCCTAAGCCACTTATTAGCAAGGCAAGTTATTTCATCACTCTGGGCTTAAGTTCCCGTATCTGTAAAATAGATATCTATTACATACAGCTTGTGGAATGATTAAATTAATTAATGTGTTATATGTCTATCATGCTGCCTAAGATACAATATGTACTCAGTAATGTTATTGCTTCTCATTTCTGTAACCCTAAATATCTTCAAATTATCCTTGACTTACTCTTCTCCTTTACCTAACCTGTTACTAATACAAAGTTCACTAAGTTTTATCTCTGGAATTCACTTCTTTCCATTCCCATTGCCCCAAGCTTAGCTCACTCTTATCAACCTGTGCTCCCAACATTGAAAATATCTGATTCCTGAATGTTCTTTTTCCAACTATTTTCCTCTCATAATCTCATATCCAGATTAATCTTGCTCAGTAATATCCTTTTTAATATTTTTTCTATCATGGCAAAACTGTAACAATACCCTATTGTCTGTATTATTCTGTTTGGCCTCTAATGCTCCCTTGACCTTGCCCTGATTCTACCCAGTCAGCCCAATTTCTCAATACTCTCTAAGAAGCTCTTATCAGTGAGACTTGTTGATTGACTTCCTTTGTGCTCTCCCCACCTTTAGAAATGCCACCACCACTGCGTTAGTTTTATTCCTGTTGCTCCTTGATTCTCAAATGTCTTCTTTCTTCTCTGATTCCCTCTCCTTTAAATCCTAACTTGGCTTCTGCCTTTTTCATGAATTTACCTACAACTACTCTGACCTGCAGTATTTTTTTGTTTTCTGAAATTCCTACAACTTAGATTTTAAACCATCTTATTGTTATTAAACTCATTTTCTCCACTCGATTGTAAAGATTGTAAATACAATGCTAGACACTTAGTAATGTTCTCAATAGATTAACTATTGAATGCTTAATCCATTAAAGCTTTTTTTTTTAAGTTGAGTATTGTCAGTGAGATTACAGAACTGTTGTATTGCTTTAGCTTCCTCACATTGAACACTACAGTATTATTCAGTATCAGGTCTTGTTATATGATTAATTAAAACTTGCTTGGAATACTAAAGTAAAATATATTTAAGTATTTTTATTACTAAGATAATATGTATATATATATATATTTTTTAAGATTTTATTTATTTATTTGACAGAGACACAGCGAGAGAGGGAACACAGGCAGGGGGAGTGGGAGAGGGAGAAGCAGGCTTCCCGCTGAGCAGGGAGCCCGATGCGGGGCTCGATCCCAGGACCCTGGGATCATGACCTGAGCCGAAGGCAGACGCTTAATGACTGAGCCACCCAGGCGCCCCGATAATATGTATATTTTAACATAAAAGAAACCAAGTAGCAAAATGTTTTTTAACCATTTATAGTATAATTTACAAATATACTTTCTAAAATTGGAAAACACTATTAAGAAAGTTATCTAATGCAGTGATTCTTTTTTTTTTTTTTTTTAAAGATTTTATTTATTTATTTGAGACAGAGAGAATGAGAGAGAGCACATGAGAGGGGGGAGGGCCAGAGGGAGAAGCAGACTCCCTGCCGAGCAGGGAGCCCGATGCGGGACTCGATCCCGGGACTCCAGGATCATGACCTGAGCCGAAGGCAGTCGCTTAACCAACTGAGCCACCCAGGCGCCCTAATGCAGTGATTCTTAAAGTATGTCTGAGGACTCCTAGATCCTGAGACGCTTTTAGGAGGTACATGAAGTCAAACCTATTTTTGTACTAATACTGAGGTATTACTTGCCTTTTTCACTGTGTTGACATTTGCAGTGAAAGTGCAAAAAATGGAAGCTAAAACTACTTACTGATGCCTGTAGATGAATTAAGATTGTGATACCCAGCCTTCCTAGTAATCATTGTATTCATCACTGCCGGCCACTTGCAGTTTAAAAAAAAAAAAAAAAAAAGCCAGTTTCACTTAAAAGTGCCCTTGATGAAGCAGTAAAAGTTATATCTTTTAATAAAAGTTACTATTTTTAATTAATCTCCATCCTTGAGTACAGTACAAAAAAAGTTCATTGATGTGATTTCAGATTTTATATTGCAAGTAACCTAAGAAATGGCCACTTGTTGAATTTTTGGTATAGTATCGAATATGACTATTCAGTTAGCTGAAAAGTCTTTTCAGAATACTACTTCTTTTTCTAACTATATAGAGGCTGGATTTTCTTCATATGCTTTGAACCAAAACGACATATCACAACAGATAGAATGCTATGAGAATTCGTCTTCTATTAGCTAGACATGAAAAGAAATTTTTAAATGTGTAAAACAGTGCAATTCCTCTCACTTAATTTTTTTTTAAGTATAGTTTTTTTTTTTTCATTTTAACATGTCAAGAATATTTAATACGTAATGGGGTCTTTTTATGAATAAGTATTTTTTAAATGTCTGTTTTAATTTTTAATACAAACATAAATATACATAACCCACATAAACAAAAGCTCTTAGGAAACTTCACTGATTTTTAAAGTTGTAAGAGACCAGGGGTGCCTGGGTGGCTCAGTCGTTAAGCTTCTGCCTTCGGCTCAGGTCATGATCCCAGGCCTGGTCCTGGGATCGAGCCCCGCATTGGGCTCCCTGCTCCGCGGGAAGCCTGCTTCTCCCACTCCCACTCCCCCTGCTTGCGTTTCTGCTCTCACTATCTCTCTCTCTCTCTGTCAAATAAATAATAAAATATTTTTTAAAAAAATAAATAAATAAATAAAAATAAAGTTGTAAGAAACCTGTGACCAAAAAGTTTAAGAATTGCTGATTTGGTCAATATTCTTGACTCTTTGAGGCCGGAATGTATCTCTTTCTCCGTC